GAACATGTAAATACCAGGGTGAGGAGGTAATAAGATCTAAAAACATGGTAAACAAAATTCAGGCAGCCGGGAAGGCTTATTTTTTACTGGATTGCTTTGAAAACACTATCGGTTGGGTTAAAGAAGGGGGTGGGCGCTGGTCAATCTGTGCTTATGAAAACACTAATGGTTAGGTGTAGGAAAGTTGTGGGTCAATCTGTACTTTTAAAAACACTGTAAGTAGGGTATATGGAAGAAGATGTATGTATATACTATATATATATATCACTAGTAGCAGTGTTATGTGGCTATATATCAGCATTGGTGGGAGTACATTGGCTTGAGACTGCAGTGCCTTAGTGTCCCACCAGTGACAATATTCAGCCATATCGCACTGCTACGAGTCTAAAAACCTTTTTGTAAGAGAAACTACTTTCTTCCACCATTCATTCACATCTGCAGCTGACATTAGAACAGCAGAAACTATTGCTACTTTACCAATATCACTTTAGAGCTAGTATTTTAATAATTCTCTAGTCTAGCCTAATGTCTACAGTGAAGACAAAACAGGTGATTTTGCTCACATTTTAAGATTATAAGGCTGAACGGCAGGAAATGCCATCAGTCTACAGAGATTTCCAAGTATTTTTGTTGCAATAGTTAGATCACAATAATCGAACCCAAAAAAGCCAAAGCAAAGCAAACACTAGCAGATTACTACAGTATAAATACAGCACTACAACATACAAAAAGAGATCGACTAATTCACCATCTTGTGAATTATCAACATCAGCCATCTTTGCTCTGCTCAGTATGACAGGCTCATAGATGTCAACATACTGAATCTCCATTTAAAATAGTAGTGATAAAAAACATTTAAAATAGGCACTGTCCTTATAAATAAACTGCATAGACACAATCTAAACAACAAAAATTTTGCCTAAAAGCCTTAAAAATACATTACGTCGTTACTCTATGTGGGAGAAGTAATACAGAAGGGTGAAAAGACTCTACTAGATTTATCTCCAATTTTCTTTTCTTTTTATTAATACATTAAAAAAAATTTCTTTGTAAAAGCATCCTTGCACTAAGGTGGAATCAAGAAAATACATCAAGAGAAAATAATATCTGCTAAAATTCAGTGTTAACAAGCAAGCACCTTGACATTAAGATGATATAATTAAGATGATCAGCCGTCTTCTGATTTATTTATCACACTGAAAACGAAATGTCAAGTCAACCATAGTGCATTGTGGGATACAAAGTCTCCCAACTGATCATCTGAATATTTCATGCATACTGAAAACTGACAGACTGTGAAAACAGTATGAGCTGTTGGATTGGAGAATGCTTGAAATGTGACCCTGAACCAAACTCATGAAGGTCCGTTTTTTAAAGTGAATTCATAATCAGATTTCCACTAATGTGTTATGATTGGACAATCTTACTGTAGGACTGGATACAATCCTGGTGTTTTTTTAAATTCTAAATATCAAGAAAATCCCATTTAAAGTAATCCAAATTAAGTTCTTAATGCATATTAATCTTCAATGATTACATTACATTAGTAAATCTACTAAACATCTTCATGGAATATCATCTTTAATTAGTATTCTAATGATGAAAAGCAAAAATCGAACATTTTGACACATACAATTGTATTATTGGCTTTTCCAAACATACACTGTCAAAAATGACTGCGATTTCAATGGTAAAAAACTAAAAATGCTACAGTAAAAATCTGTAACCTGGTTAACAATATAATTTCTTAATATATACAGTGAATAACCATAAATTGACTTTCCCAGAATTCCCTGCATGGCACTTTACTTTTTATGCTTTTTGTTGATATTAATATGGATCTTTTTAGTTGTTTCCCCATCAGTTTTGTAAATTATAGATTTATGTTACATCTAACGTCAATAAACAATGTTTATGTCATGACTTTAATTTAATGCGTGTTACCATGGTGTTTAGTAGTTGTGTGAATGACACTGAGCACCTTCTATATGCTGATACTCTTTTCTTCTTTATGAGAAAAGTTGTTTGTGATGAGCTTGGGTTCGTTATGTAACTTTCTCATCACCTCCTGCATGTGGCTGTGTTAACGTGTGTATCTGTGTAACAAAAGATGTGTATATGTTGGTAATTCAAAATACAGACATATTACCTCTATAAATGAATGAAATACGATAGTTTACTGTATTATTTTTACGGTTTGCACTGTATTTTTAATAGTGAAATACTGGCAACCACAGCTGCCGTTTTTTTACCGTAAATTTTATGGATTTATTTTTTACAGTGTAGCCATTAGTGATGGGAAGTTCGGATAATTTTACTGACTCCAATCTTTGAGTCTCGTTCATCGAGATGAATGAATCTTTTTTCGAGTCATTTCGTTCACTTGGTTCAATTTGCCAAAATATTATTAAAATGTTACAAATTTCTTCCAAACACATCTACAACTAGCCCAAAAGGTTGATCACACGACAAATAAGTCATAAATAGAAAACTATAAGAAGGAGAAAATAATAATTCAATGTTTACCTGCTCTTTTGTCTATGAAGGTATTGTTGTCTCTTTGCTCAGCTCACCTCTTTATGTATTCAAATGTCAGTGATGTGTTCACGTTACACTGACAGTCACATATAATCTTACACAGTCTGAGCCGATAGGAGCCATGATAATAAGTTCACCATTCAATTCAATTCTTTTTCCGGCTCTAAACGCATATGATTGGCCCGTGATGAACGAATGACTCTGACCCGATAGAGCAGTGGTCACCAAACTTGTTCCTGGAGGGCCGGTATCCTGCAGATTTTATCTCCAACCCTAATCAAACACACCTGAACAAGCTAATCAAGGTCTTACTAGGTATACTTAAAACACCCAGACAGGTGTGTTGAGGCAAGTTGGAGCTAAACCTTGCAGGGACACCGGCCCTCCAGGAGCGAGATTGGTGACCCCTGCGATAGAGGACTCGAGAGATGAACGGCTCAATTGATTTTCCAGCTCTAAAGGCATATGATTGGCCCGTAATGAACGAATAACTCAAACCCGATAGAGGACTCGTGAGGTGAATGGATCAATTCTTTTTCCGGCTCTAAACGATTGGCTTCTGCCTTTCCGCGATGAACGACTCAAAAGACTTGAAATGAACAAGACCACCTGCACATATGGTCGCACGCGCAAATGTGCTAAATGAACGAATCGTTCATGAACGACCCACCACTAGTAGCCATGCGACTTATATAGTTCGTCACAATAGTTCACACAAAACCTGAAAATTACTACATCATTTATTTTCCTTCACATAGTTTCAAACCTTTATGAATTCTTTTTGATTGCACCCATAAGAAGATATTTTCCAAAATGCTGGTTGATTCATTGATTTCAAATGGTAAGACAAATATACATGGAAGTCAAAGAGTTCATCAGTCAGCATTCTTCAAAACATCTTCTTTTGTGTTCAATAGGAACCGGTTTTGAACAAATGAAAGGTGAGTGAATGATGACAGAGTTCTCATTTTTGGGTGAACTACGCCTTAAAAGTCCAGGGTCACACATTAGAATAGATGTTTTTGTAAGGGGTGGCACAGTAGCTCAGTGGCTAGCACTGCCATCTCACGGCAAGAAGGTCGCTGGTTTGAGTCCCAGTTTCCCAAATTTGCTTGTTCTCCACGCAGTGGCGTAGCGGACGGGCCCGCAGGGCACGCACCGCGGGGGGGCCCCGTGTGATTAGGGGGCCCTGTGTCCACGCGATTTTCAATAATTGAAAATCCACCGGCAACCGCAATAATCAAACTCTTGGGAACAATTGTGGTCGGAACCAAAGTTCACAGGTCTGTGTTCTCTAAACACTACTGTGGACTACTTCATTCTGATTGCTTGCCGCCAAACCGCGTCATATCATAGCTCAAAGTTGACTTGATTTGATCTCTCCTCGACGCTCACACAGGAGAAGACGCGCCACGCTGTTTCTCGCCGCCGGTTCTCATTGAAAATAAATGACTTCTGGCAACTTTGACGCTCTCGCCGCTTTCGGTTTGTGATCGCTCCTCAGTTTGTTGTAGCTCCACCACCACCCCACCCCCCACCCCCCCATCAACAGGGGGCACCGTCAGTGATCCCTTTACATTTACATTTACATTTTACATTTAGTCATTTAGCAGACGCTTTTATCCAAAGCGACTTACAAATGAGGACAAGGAAGCAATTTACACAACTAAGAGCAACAATGAATAAGTGCTATAGGCAAGTTTCAGGTCTGTATAGTCTAAGAAGGGAAGTATTAGTATTTATTTTTTTTTTTTATTTTTATTTTTTTTTTTGTACAGTTAGTGTGATATTCAAAGAGGCAATTGCAGATTAGGAAGTGAAGTGGAGACTCCCTGCAGGGAGGCCTCCGCATTTTGCGCTACGCCACTGTCTCCACGTGTTGGCATGAGTTTTTCTCCGGCTTCCCCCACAGTCCAAAGACATGCGCTGTAGGTGAATTGAATGAACTAACATTGGCCATAGTGTATGAGTGTGACTGTGAATGAGTGTGTTTCCCAGTACTGGGTTGCGGCTGGAAGGGCATCTGCTTCATTAATCCTACGCCAGAATAGTCAGCGCTGTGGTGACCCCTGATAAATACGGGACTATGCTGAAGGAAAATGAATGAAGTTTTTGTAAGAAATGCTCTCAGACTTATATTTAAATATTTGTTGCCAGTACTGGTTTTGGACACACACACACACACACACACACTTCTCTTTAACACTGGTCTGGTTGATCCTGTGAAACAGTGCAGCTAGTAAAGGTCACTGATGTGGTTCAATGGTGTAATAAAGCTCAGCTATAATGGTCACATTTACTCCGGCTGTTAAAGTGTGGATGTTTTCTGCTAGTGTGTGTGTGCGTAATAGTGCAGGCCTTGTGTAATGTTCTGCTGCTTCTTGTGGAGCAGGAGACCAGTTTCTGGAGGATGTGTGTCGCCACACGAGACGATGCTTTACACACGGCGGACAGAAAACTCCAAAACTGCGACAATGAAGCTTCTGTTGCTCAGGATTTACACAGGTAATAACCAGCTCATTCTAATACACACACACACACACACACACACACACACATTATATATATATATATATATATATATATATATATATATATATATATATATATATATAGAGAGAGAGAGAGAGA